CCAGATCAAATGGTGGACGAAACTGCGGGGTGCGAACTCCTAAGTTTCATGGATGCCTTCAAGGGTTACCACCAAATCTACATGGCCAAGGAAGATGAAGAGAAGACATCATTCCTCACACCCGAAGGAACCTACTGCTACCGGGTAATGGCGTTTGGCTTAAAGAACTCGGGGGCAACCTACCAGCGCATGGTGAACATGCTTTTCAAGCCACTACTGGGAAAGACCATAGAGGCATACGTCGACGACATGCTGATCAAAAGCCAGGTATCTCTGAACCACCTGGCTGATATGCGAGCCACGTTCGATATCATGGCAAGGTAAAACCTCCGGCTGAATCCTAAGAAATGCGTCTTCGCGGTTCGTACCAGGAAGTTCTTGGGATTCATGGTGACCAAGAGAGGAATAGAGCCCAACCCAGAGAAAATCCGGGCTATCACTGAAATGCAAGCCCCTACCTCCGTTAGGGATGTTCAAAAGTTGACCGGTCGTTTAGCGGCCCTCAGCCGGTTCCTTTCCCGGTCAGCGGAGAGATCCCTGCCCTTCTTCAAAGCTCTGAAGAAGGCCAATGGATTTGCATGGGACGAAGAATGCCGGAGGGCATTCGAGGAGCTGAAAGAGTACCTAGCGTCGGATATTGTATTGTCTAAACCCGAACCGGGTGAAACTCTGTATCTGTACCTGGGAATTTCCCCAAATGCTGTAAGCTCCGTTTTAATAAGAGATGACGGGGCACAAAAGCCCATTTATTATGTGAGCAAAGCACTAAACGGGGCTGAGAATAGATATACGGCGATGGAAAAGACAGCCTACGCGCTTTTCATCTCCGCAAAAAAGTTAACATCCTACTTCCAAGCTCACCCGGTAGAAGTCTTAACTGACCAACCGCTGGGTGCAGTGTTGCGAAATTCAACATCCTCCGGGAGGATGGTGAAGTGTGCGATGATGTTAACTCAATTCCACATTGAGTACCGGCCAAGGTCAGCAATCAAGGGACAGGCCCTAGCCGACTTCCTAGTAGAAATGACCGGTCTAACTCCAGACCTACCGGTTAACAAACCCACTGAGTAATGGTGGGAGATGGCAGTTGATGGGGCATCCGGTCCTAGAGGATACGGGGGTGGTATCGTGTTCACTACCCTAGAAGGGTTCAAGATCTACCATGCAATCATCTTCAACTTCAAGCTGACGAACAATGAGGCAGAATATGAAGCTCTGGCTGATAGTAGGGCAGGTGACCGGTAACATGGAAGCAAGGGAAGGACGCATGGCACAATACAAGGACCTTGTACTTGCCCTGTTGAAAGGCTTCGAAGAATTCAAGATCGCCCAAATTCCCCGGGCGGAGAACGCGGATGCAGACCTTCTCTCCAAATTGACGCAATATGCTCCCGAGCATGTTTCGAAACTTGCCCGGG